TCCCGGCATGTGGTCACGGTGGGCAGGAGGGACTGGCAGTGACAGTGGCCACCAGGGATGTGTCACAGGCAGTGGGGATGCCGGTGGGTGCCACTCACCCCGCTCACAGGTGGGCAGGTCACCGCTCCATGTCAGGTCCCAGTGGCACATCAGGAGGTCGGTGCCAGATAGCTGGAAGCCAGGGTAGCAATGGTAGGTGACCACGGTGCCATGGAGCAGCTCTGGCTGTGAGGACGTCTTCCAACCATTGGCGATGTCGGGCAGCTCAGGGCAGGTGTCATTACGGGGGACCTCTGCAGGGACAGTGGGGTGAGCGGGGCAGTGAGGACACCAGGGACACAGATGACACTGTCCCACTTCAGGGCTCACCGGAGAAGTGGATGACAAAGCCCTGTCGATAGGCGCCGGTGCCGGAGCCGGGGTCTGACTGGAACTGGACAGTGACATCGGCGGTGGAGGCGTAAAGCTTGAACCGACCGCGGGTGCCCGTGTACTGGCCCAGGACACGCGCCGTCAGGTCGTCCCCATCGTAGAAGGTCAGCACATCCCCCGTGCCCAGCCGCAGCCTGGGGTGGTGAGGCTGTGAGGGCGGGAGGGTGCGTGGACACCCCCCACCTCCCCACCCTGAGTCACCCCTCTACTCACACGCGGACGTCCAGCAGGACACGCTTGTCCTCCTCCACGTGCAGCCCCCAGATGCAGTCCTGGCCCTTGCCGTAGGGCTCCGGCCAGTTGGGTGACAGCACCACGCCCGCTGTGTCTGTCAGCTCCCCGCTGCACACCGCTGCGGGCACACGCCGGGCTCAGCATGTGGGGGGGACCCACCATGGTGCCCACCACCCACTGACCGGCACCCACCATCCCAGTTGATTCTGGCTGCAGGACCCACCGTGGCACAATGCCTCCAGCATCCATCATGGCCCAGTTCCAGCACCCACCACCCGCTTTGGCTCCAGCTGCAGCACCCACCAGGGTACTGTGGCTCTGTTGTAGCCCTTCCCCAGCTCCAGCACCCACAGCAAGTCCTAGCTCCAGCACCCACTTCATCACCAGCATCCTTCATCCCTGTTGGCTCCTGCTCCCACTATGCCCCTCAGCTCCTGCACACACCATGTAAAGTGTCTCCAGCATCCATTATGGTCCATCCCCATGCTCCATCCAGCACCCTCAGCACCCCCATCTCCAGCATCCATAGCA